ACTGCATGGGGGAAACAGGATCCAGTGACCTTCCTGTTTCAGGATACTAATGAAGCATGGGGAGTGGATCCCCTATAGAATAAAAGAAAGTGTAGACTTGGGACTTTGGACCTTATGTATAGCCTAGACCAGTGCTGTTATATCGAACTTTATGGGATGATGGAAATGTTCTGCACTGTCCAATAATAGCCACTGGTGAGTAGCACAGACTTAGCCTAAAGCTTTTAAGGGAGAGACTTGTGCGAATTTATCACAAATGTCCTCAGATTCAGTCAACTTAGACGATGAGGTGAGGAAGAGAGAAGAGAAGGGTACCGTCGTTATTCTTCTCCCAGCACTCTTCTAGCCCTCCCCCTGCAACAGAGTTGCTTTTATAGTCCCTGACTTCTAATTAAAAATTAGCTTTTTTTTAAAAGTGTCTACTGCTTCCATTGCCCACATTAAGGCAGGACATCAACAGGAAGCATGGCACCATATTTACTAATGCTGATAACGCCAGATCTGTGTTAACAGCTTGTACATTAGGAGTAAGCTTTGTGCCTCATTATGGTATTAGAATTTCTCGGGACATGTTTAGCATAAGCAAATAGCTAGGTGCCATTTCTGCCAGTTCCCACACAGGTGCTCATAAATCATATTAGATGAATTGGGAGTTCTCATATTTAACATTGTTTACAATTTAGTTTGTTTTTACAAATCCTTTCCTAATTAGTCAGAAAGGCCACCAAATACTTTTTACTTGACTTTTTAGTTTGTTCTTGAATGGTCACCAGAAGAAAAGGTGTAAGAAAAGCTCTTCTTTTCTTGATCTCTGTACTATACTAAGCAGTGCTTCTGTTGCAGATGGATAATGCACAAGACCTGCTTTCCTTCGGTGGCCTTCAAGTGGTGATCAATGGGCTGAACAGCACGGAGCCCCTGGTGAAGGAGTATGCTGCGTTTGTGCTGGGGGCTGCCTTTTCCAGGTGAGTGGCATGGATGGACATCCCATTGGTCAGGATCCTTTAGACCCTTCAGGTGAAGTCTAGCTTTAATCTTGGCCTGATTTGCCTGGAAGAAGGTTGCATTTGAACTCATGCACATCCCTATCCATATTTCAGTGTAATCCCAATGAAACAAGAATAAGAACTGGATTCTGCCCTTATTTTAAGAAGATGAGAGTTTTCACCCATGTTGTCATCATCTGTAACTCTGTTCCCCCTCATCTTAAATGTATGGGCATTTAGTACCGTATTTTAGGTCACATTCTCTGTTTTATTCAAAGCTAATTAGAAGTTAGACCAACCGTAGATAGTTGAGAGGGAGGGGAATGAACTCCAAGAGCTGATCCTTTTGGCAGTAAAGCTACATTTGATGATGAATAAATGATGAACCTGACCAAAGAGGGCCTTTTGGGGGGAAATGTGTCTTCCCCTAATTGCCTGGAACCAATCAACATGAAGTCAGGTTATCACATTCTCTAGGTTGGAAGTTGTTTAAATTTCAGTTAGTCTGACTTGTGCTAGAAGACTGATCAAGCAAGAGGAGTAAGGAGACAGCATATTCAAAGAGTGGATGCAGAAAGAGATCTGAGTACCACATCATCATAATCCAAAAAAAGCGAGGTGTCTTCAAGCTGCAATTGGTACATTGGAGCTATAGTTCTTCCATTTTTGAAAATCTACTCCTATGACCATTTGTTCCTCTAAAACAGGAACCCGTATTCTGATTCTTGCTCTTTGTCAGGGCATGGGTGGTGGCTTGGATGGGTTGCCCTGCTTGGATGCAGGGATTGTGATGTTGCAGGAGAAAGGCTATTCTGAACATTTTTACCATTGGAGCCTTTGTTTTGGAAAGATTTTCCTTTGCCTTTCATCTCTGCTTATTTCATCAGAATTTCAATCTGATGTCCTCTCATTCTGAAAGACTTAAGCATATTTTCTTAGTAAATTGATAGGCACAGCTGGGGATGCTGGAAGAACTGTTCCATGTGGAGAGTCTGGGAGCACAGCAGACCTTTGTTTCTCTTTTTGCCAACTTGCCTGATCTTCAAGCCCTGGTTGTCCTGTGGACTCCAGGGCATACCTCATTAAGTATTAACCAGAGCCAGACAGGGAAATCACTGCCTGTGCATCTACTGGTTAAGTGAAGAATCTAGGAATTTGTCATTGGTAGCTGTGATTTCAGCCCTGGACAATAAGGTTCTTATTCTTTTGAGACTTTAGAGGCTTGAGAACTTACTGAGGCTTACTTTTTGTTTCTCAAGCCGTAGAAGAATTGATTCAAACATTTTTAACCTCTTTCCCCCAGACTTTTGGAAATCTTTTCTGTAATCCTGAGTACTCTCTTTTCACTGTGAATGTGAACAAATGATCCTAGATGTCCCTTGCCATTGCTTCTGGAAATACATTCCTTGGGGGAAAAGTCTTGGTGTCACATTTTAGTTAAAGGGGGCTAAGTGACTTGAGAAGGATACATTGGACCTGCTTATCAGCCATGACTCACCACAGGGCTGTGCCAATATGTGGTTTTATTAAGAGTTTTCTGTGATTGTATTAGCATAAGACTGTGTTAACATTTATGCAGCATCACTAAAATTTAAATAGAGATAAATATAAAATATTGCAATTTAGTGTTTTGGTGGCAAGCAAACTGCTGTATTCAGAATGTTCTGGCCGGGATTTTGATGGCTCACTGGAGGGCAGTTACAGTGACAGCATGGTATGGCACCATGCTTTTGGAAGCCAACAGCAGGCTCCCGAACATCATGAAAATGTCAATGTTTTATGCAAAGAGGAACTTGATGCAAGGTGAGAATATTTCTATGTAAAGAGGCAGGTTTCAGTGCTCTAGTCTGATATTCATTATTTATTTTTGATGTCTTAAGTATTGGTTCTGCAGCTCCCTACCTGTCCCCAGCAGGCATAAGTGCACACACATAGCACACATGTATGCATGTGTGCATGCACAAAGTTATTGGACGAACTTGCTCTTTACCAAGAGGGCATTTAAGGGACAGTGAACATGTTGGAATCATGGAGTCTCACAGTTTGGGGATGTTATTTAGAGGTCATTCCTTCCAGTTTTCTGCTGATGGGCAAGAATGCTGCTCAGTCAGTCCAGATATTTCCGTATTTGGGAGGATTATACAGACCATTTTACCTAGAGCCAGAAAATTTAGGTTCAAGTCCAGTCTCTATCATTTCCTGGCTTTTTGCCTATAGGCAAGTGATTTCACCTTTCTAAGCCTCATTTTTTTCATTTGTTAACTAGAAACAATAGTAGATATCCTCTGCATTTCATGAGGTTGAATGAATATGAAATAATATACAATAATAAGTCCTGTGAAAGTGCTTATAAAGCACCTGTCAATGATAAGGGGTATAACATAATCACGCTCATTGTGTGTCCTTTTTTCTGAATTTTCACCATAAGGCAATTTTTATTTCTTTTGTTTTTATACTGCAAACCTTTATCTTCCTTATTTTCTCTTCCATTAAGTGCTTATGTTCTACCACATACGTCCCTTGGTGTTAATCTTGCTTCTTCATGAAGGTATTTATTTACCTACCTGGGTTAATTGCTTAATAAGGCCTCCACACAGATTTCTGTGGATGAAGAGATCTCTTCTGTGGTGTTAAATGTGAAGCAATTATTCCAAGATCAAGAAGAAAGAATGGACATAAATGTATTGACATGGCCACTTACTGTTATATGACCACTGAAATAGTTTGTTCCCTTATTTAAATATCATTCACACTTATTATGGATCATACACTTTTGTTTTCTGCTGCCCATGTTTTTGTTGTCGGTGTATAAGGCAAGTCAAGCTCTTGCATGAGAAGATAAGCAGAGGTAGAGAGAGAGGTGTTTGATGCCTTTAACATTTTCATCTTTTCTTTTTCTTTCCTCCCTCCCTTTCTCCTTTCTTCAAGTTGGATATTTTCATTGGTCTTCCTATGACTTGACTCTGGAGTCCTGGGCAAGTCATTGTGTTTCTGTGTTTGGGAAGGCCTTGTGAATTTTAGAAGCCATGCAGCCTTCTGTAATCTGGTTTTGGTTTTACTTCTCAGCAAACCAGCCTCCTCCTTTTGTTTTCCTCTTATCTCCCAGTATGTGGCCTTTACCTTCTAACTATTAGGAATTAAATTATCAAGAAACTGGTATGCTTATCCCTGGCTTTTGCTGTTTTCATGGCCCTGCCTCTCTGTGACTTTTGGTGTCCTATATCCACTTTTTTATATCAAAGATGTATGTATTACTCCTGTTCCCATCTCTGCTATATCCATTTTTAATAACTCAAATTCTCATATGCATTTGTATGAATTATTATGAAATTAGGTGGGCTTGTAATGAGGCGGGAAGCCCCATAAAAAGA